AAAAGAAATTGAATTAAAGAAATTTTGTGCATAACCTTGCATGTGCTGCCAACTTAATTAATTTATAAGAGAATAGAGAAGAGCAGTTCTATTTTCAAAATATTTTGAAGGCTACTTAAGGTTTACCATTTGGCTTATCCTAAGGTCAAGGTGGCTCTGATACCAACTTGTCACGCCCGGAATTTCTATCCAAAATTCCAAACGCTTACATGTGTGTTAAACCCTCGTCCAGGAATCAACCGAGGCACACAATGACAATATTGATAATAGAGTACAAATAATTAACTATTGAATACTCACAAATAATAAATTATTACAGAGGTAGATAGTTCCTCTCAAAGAAAAATAAAACATTCTACGCAGCGGAAAACAAAACTATAACAAACTACGGAACAGCTATGGCGACTCCACTCCACATGCAACTTAACCAGAACAAGCCTAATCCTCCAGATCATCACCTTCACTGAAGTACTCCTCTTCTGATGAATGAATATTGCAAGAATGAGCATATAACATACTCAACAAGCCACACAGCAAATATGCAAGTGCACAGGATAACAAAGGATGGCATAATATAGTTCATTTGCAGAAAACAGCATTTAATAAATATTTTAGAGAATAGTAAAACAGTTGAATAATTAATCAATATTAAATAAACACCATACAACACACCCGTGTTGCATAGGCCCAACCGTATTTGTACAACCAACCCCAGTTGAACAAATTAAACCTCCAAACCAGGAATTATCCATTCCAAACCAGGAATTAAATTAATTACCACATTATTACCACTAATGAGTAGTGTGAGACTAATCACGAAAAACATTGCTCAACTCACCCATAACCGCGGGTACGGCTATTCGAATAGATTAAAACTCTGATCAGAGGTGTACCACTGTACCCACAAGACACAACCCCACATCATGTTACCATGTGCCTCAGTACCACCACGATACCTCGGAAAGGAGTCGTGACAATACCCCTCGCATAACACAATTCACCACAGTGCACCGTACCTGGATCATAATCACCCCCTTATAAACAAGGCATGGACTCCCCAGCGACCCCCATGGACTTCTCGCCACTTCTCAGTCTGGCGCACTATAATGAATCACGCTATACAAAAGATAAAGCCGTTGCCCACGCTGGCTTGTGGTTGGCACGATAAATGTTTCACAACAGTAGCTCGCGAACCGGTCCTTAATTGTCATGAGCACAACCATCAAAACCATATGCTCACAACCCACCTTATCCAGGTTTTAAATTATCAATTAATTAACATCACACGATTAACCATCGTGAGCTACCATTGAATATAACCCTAATTAACAATAATAATTATGTATATACTTTATATTTAACCCCTTTTAGTTAGCTAATGTTTCTAAGCATAGCTAAGCAAACCTATATATAGCATTTAGCTGAACCAATCCAATATATAAGGTTCATGCTAATCAAATTATAACCCATAGGAAAATAAAGTCATCTTCGGCCATTAACTAACTGGGAAAGGTTCACCACCCGATGACATTCAAAAACAATGCATAGTTGAAATAAAATAATAGCTTTAAACGGGATCAACATGCTCAAAGGGTTGTTTGGGATCTGTGTGACTTGCCTTGGGCTTCCACAAACGCTTCGGAACCTTCCTCAACGGAAACGCTCTCCTCCAGAACGTCGGAAACTAAAGCAAATAAACAAAATCAACAAAACAGCACAAAAACAAGCATAAACAGTACATGTGGATATTTTTAACATGTAGACCTTGATTTTAGAAGAATTTAGAAACTTGAACCACCTAAAACGGATCTACGGTTATTTAGTTATGATTTTCCGAAGTTTAAATCTATTAGAAAATCGGGAAAAAGGAAAAAGAGAGAGAGGATGACGTCAGCCCTGGAGATGATGACGTCAGCCCTGGCGATGACGTCGGCATGACGTCAGCACGACGGCCGGCTCAGGTCGGAGGGCTCGCCGGCGCTAGGGAGGTCGGCGGCGGAAACGGAGACCACCTACGCGTAGAGGACAACGAGGCGAACCCGTTGGTACTCACCACCACGGCAAACGGTGCACGACGGCGGCCGGCGACGAGAAGAGGCGGCGCGGCGGCTCGGGTCGACGGCGACGAGGGTGCTCCGGGGGTCGGCGGCGAAAACGGAGGGGCGGCCGAGCTTCCTCGCACGACGGCGCTCCTCTTGGCGGAAACGGCGAGCGGCGACGACGACGGAGGCGGCGGCGCGACGATGCCGAAGACGGCCGGCGGCGGCGGCGAACTTGAAGCACGTCGCGGCGGCGCTAGGGGGCACGGGAGAGCTCGGGAAAGGGGGCAAACGGAAGAGGACAACGAGGGGAAGCTTTATATGAGCTCGGATTGAAGAGATCAAGCCGCAAACGAGAGGAATCGACTCGGGAAGAAATCAAACTCGGTTTTTAGGGATAAAACAAAACGAATTCGATTCGGATAAAATACCCAACGATTCGCTTTGATTCTTGGGGAAAAGAAAGGAGAACGAGAGGAACAAAACCCCTCAAAAACCCGGAGGAATCGGGCTCGGATTTGGGCGGAATCGGAGCGGGAAGCGGCGGCTAGGGTTCGGGCTCGGCGGCGGCCGGCCGGAGGTTGAAGACGGCCCTGACATGTGGGCCCCACATGTCAGCGGCTGGAGGAGAGGGGCGCGGGCGGCGGCGGCTTGGGCCGGCATGGGCCGCGCGCGGGGAGAGAGAGGAAAGAGAGAGTTGGGCCGAAATCGGCCCAACGGCCTAAGAGGGGGATTTTTGAACTTTTTAAACAAAAACAATTTGTGAATTGATGTTTCAATTATTAAAAATACTTCCCTTGCTCAAATAATTCCCAGAAAAATCTAGAAAATAGAGGAGCAAGCATAGTATTTAATAGAATTTTATCTAGCTCATTTTTATGTTGAAAATTTTCCTAGAAAATTAGGGTTTAGCTTGTAGGCTTTTAAAATAATTTCTAAAAATTCCAATTAAACAACAATTTATATATTTAAGATTTTTAGGGTGTGACACTTCTCCCAAGAGGATGAGTACAACAGCCATTAGTAAGGTGGTGTTTGGATCCAGGGACTTAACTTTAGTCTCTGTATTTAAACATTAATTTAGAGTATTAAATATAGGCTACTTATAAAACTAATTACATAAATGAAAGCTAATTTGCGAGACAAATTTTTTAAGCCTAATTAATCCATAATTAGAGAATGTTTACTGTAGCATCACATAGTCTAATCATGGATTAATTAGGCTCAATAGATTCGTCTCACAAATTAGTCCAAGATTATATATGGGTTTTATTAATAGTCTACGTTTAATATTTATAATTAGTGTCCAAATATCCGATGTGATAGGGACTTAAAAGTTTTAATCCCATCTAAACAGGGTCTAATCCTACTCCTATCTTTTCACATCTGAAAAGACACATAAAGAAAATTACATGTACTACTAGTACTAAACTACTAAGGCCCAGTCCCAACCGGATAAAAGGAAAATAAAATATCCTCAATCCCCACCATCTCTAATCCCCATATGTCCTTAGATGTACTTTATTTTATCTTCCTTAGTTAGTGCTAAATAGGGAATAATCCCTTATAATCATGGACGGAGGGAGTGCAAAGAAAATCCATTTTAGACAGCGGACTATGACTGTATGAAACTATGCAGGGGGAGGCGGAGGAGGAGGAAACGGAAGAGGAGCAGAGCAACCTGTACTCACCAGCGATATGTCGAAAGGGGACCCGAGAATCCCAGCATGCTCCTGTGATCCCGCCACGCGCTTCAACGAACGAGCCAAATTTGCACACTCAAGTTGCACTTTGGCACAGAATCCATAGCGAGATCCACTTTAGCAATTACTTTCTCGAGATTTCCACCCTGACAGTAGCCGCTGATCAATAGTGATGACCTCCAACTTCTCCAGAAGCTTGGATTCCATCAATTCCGTGCCTTGTTTTAATGGAGCGGAGAGCTTGGCGGGCATCATGGAAAATCGGCAACAAAAATGAGATGCACAGCGACACCCACAACTAGTCTTTGATACCACTGTAACACACCCCCGCCGATGAGATTGTCGCCAACGAGATTCGGTTGGAGGGAGGGAGATTGATCGGAGGAGGAAGCAGAGAACGTGAGAGAGAGAGAGTGAGAGCAGAGTTGGGGATTGTGTTTCATTTCATTTGCCAGATTGGCTACAGTGGAGCCACCCGGTGAATATTTAACATGTTCTGAAATGAGCTAATAGGCCACACGCCACACGCACACTAGGCTTGCAGGCCTCAATTCATTCTAGGCACGCAAGATAAACCCCTAACTCACGCGCTATTTGCTTAACTCCACACCATGATCTATACTGTTACCGGTTACTGGTCATGATATTACATGAAAGATACATAAATACATATGTACACCTGCTAAATACATATGTACACCTGTTAGCTCGCTACCTTTACCCGTTCATCTACTTTTTTCTTACCTCGTACATGTGATTTTTTTTCAAGGTAATTATATTAAACAATATTTATAAAAATACATATGTAGACTTCTTAGTTATATACAAAGTGGGGGCAAAATTTTTATGTAGACTTCTTAGTTACTGGAATTAAACGCGAAAGGTGCTCCGTTGATCAACACTACATTGACCACTAGTGTGTTCCGACCGATTGCAAATAATGTTCGCGAAGCCTTTCTTGTTCTCTCGCTGTCAAGAATCTCCTCGTCTGGGACCGGAAATCAATGGGTTCTGAGTTCTGACTAACGACTCAACTAGTACCTATTCACTTCATTGCGCTGCCGTGTTGTTAGCTGTACATGCAAAATCTACCAGCAAAAAGACACTTGTCACGTCTCTCTCCTGCTCCGTTGAGATAGCCGGTGAAGGTATAGGGAAAATTTTCAAGCTTCGCCTCGACTGTTTTTAGAAAAAAAAAAACCGTTGTATGCTCAATAGCATGACAGGTTTGTTGGTTCCAGATGTTCTAGAGAGCGAGTCACTACTGTACTTACCAGATTGTACATTGATCATATGAACAGTAATACAGTGGACTATATGTAAATGTAACTTCTCTTTTCTGTAGTCTGTCACCAATGCTATGGTCGAAACAGGCTTGGAAGACTTGGTCTCGGTTCCTTTGAAGAAAGAGCAAAACCAAAAAAATAATCTGATCTCCAATTGAGCCGGAAAGATCATTTACACCATGTCATTGGAGTGGCAGCTATGCTTGATCATTTACACCATGTCATCCTATCTAAGACATTTGAATTACATTTGTGAATATAAATTGCGACCAAGAGAAGATTCCACGAATTATGTACACATGCACTGTGATCAGCAAGACCAGAATAAGAACTGACCTGTAAATGTACTGTAAAGTGTAAACACCTAACTGCTGGATATCCTTTCTGTAGTATAGACTTCTATCTAGTTCAGAGCAAGCCATCTACTAGAACATATGCTTCTCTGATGGGGGTCTCTGCACGTCAGATCAGGTGTAAGATGTGTATGCCTGTACTGGAGCAAGAGAGCATAAGTACATGGCAAATTAGAGCACCAATTTGGCACGGGCATATCATAGGATGTATTCAACCACTGTAGATATGGCCTTTGGACCCCCTCGCTCGAGCAAAGAGAGGGCAAGATCGCACTCGTGCCATTTCCAAAGCCCAGACGCCAGCTTCTTCAGCGTCTCGAGCTTCACCTCAGGGATCCATGTTGGCGCAAAGTCGACCAGCAAGCCCACAAAACATATAACATAGGTTCTCCAAGTGACCTGGCCACAGCCAAGCTCAATGTTACCCTGCATTACATTGGCGACAAACTCCAAGTGCCTATCTACAACCCGTTGCCTCTTCGATGTGTATACGGAAGTATAAACTGGGGAGGTTTCTCCTACTCCCCAGGTGCTGGCCCCAGAAACAAGGAGAACATATGCCAAAGCAAATCCTTCGAAACTACTGCACACTGGTCCAGCAGAACCCAGCCTTGCTTCACCAGCTGAAAGCAGCATTGTTGGCAGAATCTGCTCATACAGAAGACGAACCAACTTTATTCCACCAGCATGACAAAGCATAGATGCTGCAAGTGATGCTATCTGCTCTACAGAACATGTGGCAGAAGATAGTGTCATCCGACCAGACTTCAGAAGATGAGGTCTACTAGAGTCACATTCATTTGCTAATGCACGAGCTCTCTCAATGACAACCTTCAAAATCTCTTCACATACAAAATAGTTGTCAGGAAACATTCGGCAGCATCGTGTGTAAAGTAATCCTGGCGATAAAGAAAACCGGGGACTTCTTTCTTGGTGAGCCTGCCCCAGCAGCCTATTCACTCCTCTGTCAGCTACAAAGCAAGAACGCCCATCAACCAAAGGCCCAAGGAAAGATGAGAAGCAACTCCTGATTAGTTGAGCAACTGCATTTTTATCTCTGGTAAATGGTGTCTCTGAACATGACTGGATGATATAATCATGCCACCGCCGAACTTTTTGTGCCCAGAATGCCCCTATGATTGCCATGCTAGGCCATGAACTTGATGTAGCACAAATTTCCACTCCTTTGTCAATAATTCCTTGTAAGTGATTAAATTCCTCCATCTTAACAGTTATTGATAAGCTGATAAGAGTTGCTATTGGTAATGGAAGCATTGGGATTGGTGGACCTGTATGATTGAGTGACAAGCAACAGTTATAGTATAAGAAGCTTACATTTAAAGAGCTTACAAGGAAAGTCTTCTTAAATTCAAGATAAATTTTCAATGGCATAGCTCACAAATGAAGACAAATAAATGATTTACTATCGCCTGTAAAGCCCCTATTTGACATGAATGAGTAAACGTACCAACATTAAAGAGGATAATATGATAACAGCAGTATATACCTGTGACATACAACCATGGAACCACCACTACTCCTGTGTTATTAGCAACCTAATTTAATAAGAAATGTGTTTCTGTCCTTTTAAAAGCCAAGTTTTTTAATTACTAAAGTAAAGGTAGGAGTAGATCCTAAAATAAAATTTATGCAATTTCTTACTCTTTAAAAGAGAGTTGGGGATATCGTAGGTATCCCACTACGGATCTTTAGTGGTGTCATGGTCTTCAGCTAGTGGGTTCTGTGGAGTCGATTGAAGTCTATAGCCATGGATGACAGGAGGATGAGGGCGTTCTGCACCTCATCATCCCAGTGCAGTGGTGGAGGAAGAAGAAAACAGAGTGGACTAAATTCTTGCTTATCTCTTCATTATCTGGCCAAGTCCCTTTATAGGAGAGGCATCAATCCTACAAATGAAGCTAAACTCTTGGAACTCATTAACTAACAGTGAAGTAGTGAACCAATCTAATAATCCTGATAAAACCAACTTGAAGATAATCCTCACACAATCCTGATTTAGTCGCTGGCTTGGGTGTCGCCAGAGTTGGGTGCCCATTATAAGTTTATCACAGTACATTTACTACTTCTGTATGCAGATTAAATGCTAGATCACTAATTATAATTTAAAGCAGCTATTTAATGTATACATGTACAACATTCACACCTACCATTATAAGTTTATAACAAATATATCTCATGATGTACTCCCTCCGTTTCATATTATAAGTCACTTTGGGTTTGTCCTAAGTCAAATCTCTTTAAGTTTGACCAATTTTATAGAAAAATATAACAAAAAATTTCCAACATAATAAATATACTATAAAAATCTATCCAATGATGGATTTAATAAAACTAATTTGGTGTCGTAGATGCTGGTATATTTTTCTATAAACTTGGTCAAACTTGAAAAGGTTTGACTCCGGACAAACCCAAAGTGACTTATAATAATGGAGGGAGGATAGCTTAAATTTTGCTCCACAGAACCCAGAGTGAATGCATAAAACAATGTTCAAACATCAAATACTGAGGTCAACAACTTATAAGGCCACTGGAAATGAAATAAAAAATAGAAACAACGGTAGCTTGTAGTAGCAAACAGAAATGAATCATTTGTATAGAAAGACATAAACTTACGTATTCGTGGAGAGATGTTAATATGAACACCAGCGGATGCAAGAGCCTCCTCAATATCGGACTCAACTGCTAAAAGCGTTGCAGCAGGACTGGGCCAGTCAGTCCCATTCAGCATAACTGGCTTCCATAAGCCACGAGTAATTTCTGCCGAAAAGTAGCTGACGATAACAGCAACTGAAGCAGGCAAGAAGTCCGCAAGATTCCTCAAGCCTGTAAGAGTGTAACGGTATGCACCAGTAAATATGCAATGACAATGGGAAGTGAAAAATACAGTTGATGTCTGTCAATTTCGATAAACGAAAACAATTTGCAGATAGCTGGAAGGTGAGCTTTTTATATAATGCTACATAGAGGGAAAACGTCCATAGTGCCATAGACTTAGTAGATCCTACATAACTCTAAGAACTACAACCAGACGAGTTGCCCTAAACTTTGAAGTACAAGACCAAAGTCCACTTAACAGGATCTTTAACCCCCAAGCAGTGGTGCAGCCAGCTCCCAGGCTGATCAAGTGTCCACCTGAGCTCTGCAGCTGGCGTCATCACTATCAACTACCAGAAACACCTATAAGAAGTAGCCAGCAACCAGGAAATGCTCTTTGACACCTGGGCTTGATGACGATGCGGACTCCGCCACTGCTCCCAAAAGGTGGTTTTACAAACAAGTTTCTACGTTGACTGCTCAAACACCAAAATTGGCCACCCTGAAGTTATCTAGAGTTCTAGGCTACTCAACTAGAGCTTAAATGGGGCAAATGGAGAATCTCATCTCCCATTTGTCACCCTGTGCAATCCCTTCTTTCCAATTCTGACCAAAGTTACTCTCATTTTTAATCAACTCCATGGCAGCTCTCAATGAGTTAAAATGTGAAAACAAAAATCAGCCTGGGACACCATCTTACAAGGTAAAATTACCTTTAAATGTTTATGAGGTCATATTAAACTATGACATTCCATTTCATCCTGTACACTTAAAAACCCAGTAATCTGATAAAATATTTAGACCACTTAGAGGAAAAGGAAAATATTTTCATGCATGATCGAGTTGATTAATTGAAAATAAAAAAAAAGACAGGAAATGAAAGTCTAAAGCCAACTTTTTTATGTATACCACCTAAATATTAGGTGATAGTCTCATTGAGAACTGAAATATTCAAAGGTACTCATCCCAAAATAAATTGATTTCTAGAGTTCAAAATTTGTCCCAAAATAAGTTGTTTGGCAAAGATTAAGGTTGAGGGAAAAGATTTCTTTTCAATCACCTCATTGGTCAAATTTTGAATTGCTTAGATTCCCTTCCCAAGCTCCTGATGATTGAAAATGCTTTGATATCCATGCACTGGAATCAGTATCCTAAAAATGCTTATGTTGTGGTACACTTTTTGAATCCTAGACATGTTTATATTTTGGAATGGAGTAGGCTCTTACCTACCCTTGGTCCACAAATCAAGAAATCGTATCCCTTCAATACTCCTTACCTACCCACCCACTAATACTAATTTCTCATCGAGGGGCATTTTAGTGTTTTACCCTCCCTACTAAAGTTTCCTTGGAATGCGAGAGATCCATTTATTTTGGGACAGGAGAAGTATATCCATAGACAGAAATATTTTTGCAAATTAAATTACATAATATATGAATATTGAATACACGTAAGCAATTTTAAATTCAGGATGACATTTATGAAAGTAGTACTATTGCACTTGAGTTAAATTGATGATAATAAAAGCTCAAAGAAATTTTGTTACTGAAGGCATTTGATTCAATCTTTCACAGTGGAAAGTAACTGGGATAACTTACAGGACAGAACTAGAACTAAATACTACTCCCTCCATCCCAAAATATAACACCGTAGTACTAGATGCGACACATGCTGCTACTAAGGATCTGGACAGGGGGACATGTCATATGTAGTACTGGTTGCTATATTTTGGGACGGAGGAGGGAGTATGAACTTGAGGGAATTAAGAAACTTCATCAAAAAGATATTATTAGTTTCTGAACAACACTACTTAAATGTAAATGGAAGATTTAGCTTGTTAGTGTAAATTGAAGACCAGTGTTAGATATGCAAGTAAAATGCAGGATACTGAATAAAAACCTGTAATCAAATCACGAGACGAAAGCCTCCCATGTGCGCAGGCAGCTAAAACAGTCTCAAGCACAAAAGGAACAGCTTCCAGCACTTCCCATGCAGTAGCTGGCGGCCCTTGGGAGACATCATCTTGTGTGCCTAGAGATGAACCACTCATACTGGAACTTGATGTTGATTGGGAACTGACAGGAGGGATGCCACTTTTTGACATTTTATGGCAGACAATTTTCAGTATCTTATTGGCTACTTGAAGGATACTTTTCCTTTTGTAAGAACTAGAAAGAGTAGAGGCTATGCAAGCCTGATTCTGAAAGTACCATGCCCGTAGCTTTGGAAATGAGTCAATATACACCGGTTTTTGAAACGATGGATCTAGTTGAAATATGCTCTTTCTGCTAACATCATACGGACTATTCAAAGCAAAATGACTGTTTCGTAGTAGCAGGAGAAAATCCAAACTGATCTCTGAGCAAACAAAGACTCCATGTTTTGATAGTGCATACTCCACAGGGGGTCTATGAAATTTCCACAAGCGAAGAAGACACAGGAAAGCACATGAGAATACGGAGTACACAGAGGCCTCTTCAAAACTACAATTCCTATGGTCAGACGAAGGTAATGATCCAAATATTTCGCATAAAGGCATTAGAATGGCAGCTAGTTCTGGAACCTGAAAAGTTTGTAAATTATATAAAATCCAGCATATTGATATTTGCTTTAATAATTTAAAATGCAACTCTGAAATTTAGCAATTCATTGTCTTTATGAAAAACATCGATTTCCTTACCAAGCCATACATAGAGAGAATATGAACCACATCAATTGAAGAAATCCCAGATATGAGAGCATGCAGCATAGGCATGTGATGTATATAGAACCCATCTGATCCAGAGTCTAGGGGGAGCAATGTAGACAGCAACTTAAGCACCATTTGGATAACATGTTCCTAAAAGAGCACAGGAAAGCCACATTAAATCATTTTCAAAGGCAGTAATAGTCAATAATGACACATACTATACGGAACTTTTCAGGCCAAAGATTGTAAAATAGAACAAGAGCATTTTGTATGTGCCACTCGTTCTATTTGTGCTCCACACAGAATTCTACCTGAATGTTCCAGCCACGAAGAAGGGATGCTCCACACAGAATCTTAGACGCCGCCAACTTTTCCTCATCTGACCCACTTACTGCAAAAGGTTGCAATTTCTCCAACTCTGCTAGGCTAAAATAATCAAGTAGGAACGGTACCATTAATCAAGCTAGTGAGCAAACATTAAAAAACCCAAAATGCTCTTAAGGAATTGAATTTTACAAGTCCATGACTCATCACCTCGAAGCAGGTGTAACCATAAGTGCATCCTTAAGGCCCATAAGGGGTGACCCTTCCATTAAGGCTGACCAAGGGGATTCCTCAACAGCAGATGCGTCTTTAACTGGAACAACATAGCTAGGCCAGAAATAAACAGATGTATCAACTAAATTCCTTGCTATACAAGCTTCCACAATAAGATGTAGCATATTTCCCGCTGCAATTTTAGAATGATTATGAGAGAAAATGAATTGTTTACTAATAAGAAATGCATAAGAAAAATACTAGATATTGTAAAATCAGTCTGAGATAACCTGCTTTAATAGAGGAGATATCTTTGGAATAATTGTGACCTCTCTCATTCCGATCCTTCAAAACAGATAAAGCAACTAATGCTTTCCTAGCTGCAATATTTGCTGACTGCACTACTGCTGGTGGAGGAGAAAGAAGACCAAAAAATTGCCCTAGAACTTGAAGTGAAGACAATAATTCTCCTCTTCTAACAGAGACCATTCCACCTTCAATCTTGTCAGACTCTTCCTTAAGAATGGAAGCAATAGACAGAGGTACAATAGCCAATAACATGCACAATCGAGAATGAAGATGAGGAAATGGCCCTTCTGGAATGCCACGATCCTAGTAAACAGATACAAAATTACATTAAACGAACATTCTAGCTTCCTCATCTGTTAATAAAGAAAAAAATGATGTTTCAAAAGTTATCTTAACTCGTTGTATAAGCCGTAAAGCTGAAATCCACAGAGCTTGAAAGGTTTCTTGCCAGGTTGCTCGATTAAGAACTTGAAGTGTCTTAGCAAGTTCTGTGCCAACCAAAGGTTTCAAGTTGATAAAAAAGGTTATACAGCAGTTGAATCAACAACTGAAAAATATATTAGAACCTGTCAGAGCTTCAATTGATGATATGGTATCAAGATGTCTTCCGTCCATTGTGTTCTCCATAAACATGTCAAAAGGTATCCAACAAGAGCTCTTTCCAGCGCCAAAGACACTGCGTGCAGCAGAACTGCAAGGCTTTGTACTCACAATACTTCCCAATAGATTGCCTTTGTGTAATTGATGTCCTGTAGTAACAACTTTTCGTATATTCATCATCAAGCTGCCTAGCAGATTATGTGCAGTTCCAAAATTCTTTGACTTCAGAGCACCAATAAGCTGAAGCCTCTGGAGCAAAATATTGAAATTTTCAGGTCTACCCTAGCACATCCATAAAAAAAGGGTTTCCAGTCAGTGTGGATGCCAGTTAAGTGAAACTTTTAATTATTCCAGCTTCCATGTAGGATTGAAACAGCTAAACGCACAGCAATTATATATGAGTGAAATGACAACTGAAATAAAAACCCAACTTTGAAGTATAGAGTCATCCCAACTCAAAAGATAAGTTTTTTCGGTGATACTGGTGGTCTGGCCTCTGTTTCGGAGTGAACTATCTAGCCCCAATTAACCTGGTCTGATTCTGACCATTGTGGAGATCAGACCATCAGACTATTTACAGCCCTAAAAACCTAAAGTAAAACTATTCTTTTATCTATAACACGGATTAACTTCACCTTTGGACTGCAGAAACTAGATGAGATCATGAAACCAACCTAATAAGAAATCTTCAGATAAGAAGTCTAGATCTAAAGATGTTGAACCCTTAATCTACAGTTATCTAGAATTTGATCAAAACTTAAAACAGTGACAACTTTCAAACCATGAGGAAATTATCTAAAATCCAGAATGAATGTTTTGCTGCAGCCAGCAGCATCAACTAAATGTCTAAGTCAGAACGGATTTATTAGATCTGTCAATGGCTGTGAAATATGAAATCTTACTGCATAATATCTGCCAAAATATCATACACTTTTATGTTAAAAAACTTCACGTTTGCATTTGCACATCAAGCGGTTTCAATGTGATGGCAAGAAAACCAGTTGTTTAATGAATCTATGTCTCAAATGAAGCTGAATCACTAAAACTGATATCAGAATCAGACAAGGTGAAAAATGGTAAATTTGAAAACAGTATTACATGATAAAAGATTTGAGTGGATTTTCTAACTAAGCAGTTTCTGCCACAAAATTAACATATGATATAATGATGAAAGATTTAAATTGTATACCTAAGTATATTCAAATAATAAAAGCTAAAAACTCAAGTAAAACAAAACTGCATCATATCATGAAAAAATTGATAGAGAGTTCGGATGGATATATAAGATTTTATTTAATCTTTTTTTCTTAGGCAATAAAGATTAAGAAACAAGGATGCAGCTGCATACGTGTTACGATAGACTAGACGGAGAAAAACTTGAGTATTTTTGTTAGCAGTGATCTTCTCAACTACTTCTAAAGTCATAATTGTGTTCTTCCTCCTCAGACATTCACGGTGCTCATCTTTCCTATCAAATGAGCTTCCCTTGCCATCTATGTTCATACTTTTTTCTGCTCCAATAGCATATGAAATGTCATGTCCATCACCATCAATAGTTGGCAAACCACAATCTTCCAATATACAGTCAGTCAATATTTTGATAACGCTTAACACAAACAAAATAACTGTATGTCCAAAATCCACTCTCTGAAACCCATAGCTATCTGAAAGATGCAAAGCATCATCAATAGATTTGACTAACCTGCAATGGGAAATGAAGATAATTAGGAACATTTTACAGAATCCAACAGTTCTGATAATTAATTAAATAAACTAAAAATATGTTTCTTTTTCTCGTTGAGTGCTCCCTCCATCCCACTCACTAAACTAATCTTTGACTTTAAATTTCTCATATACTACAATGTTTGTAGCAACTAAATCATAATCATATAAAAGTAAATCTAAATGATAATCCAATGTTATTATTTTCATCAAATAAAATTTAATTTATAATAAAATATTTATTGGTCAAATATTTAAAGAGTTGAATTTAAAAGTGTGCGTGCGCCTTAGTGAGTGGGACGGAGGGAGTACTTAGTAATGAAGTAGCTAGAAAAACAGATGCTCCTATCCTGATGACATGAAAGCAGCACCAGATGCAGATAAGATCACATATGAAATAACACAAATTAGATGAAGCGCTGGACCATTAGATATGCACTTGAGGAGACATGCCTGCTTTGCATAACGCATTATACGTACACATTTAAGTATGGACAAGGATCTAAATGGAGTATGCCAGTGTTGAAAGGTGTGTGACTTGTATCCTACCCGATTAGGACGAACACTAACAAGATTATGATTTCTACTTCTGTTTGGAAGATGACTAGTGAACTTGTATATAAAAGGGGGATGGCAATAAACAACCCAAGCCATGAACAAGCCGCAGGGACTCATCCAAAGCAAGTAGAAGCAATTTAGAGCACATGAGTGGATTCTTGTGTAAAACAATTACGCGAGGGTACAAAAGGTCCAAGAGGGTTGTCGGAAAGTGTCAACCCCTTGTACTATTTTGAGCTTGAGTTTAAGGAATATGCAATACGATTATAGGAATAACCAAATCTTCTTCAATGTCATGATTGTTTCATTGCCATGTTAGTTCCCTATGGTATTCATCTACTTTGGTCTTAAAGACTTAATACCAAACACACTTGTATCATATCTCACAGCATCTGAAGGATTCAGGATTTTTGCACATAAGGGATATCAAAGCATGACAGTCAGACTATCATCACATGAATTTCGCTTTCCAAGTATAATATATTATACAATATATCAAACATACATGACTAAAATAGTGTTTCATGTGCAGGGGTTCATGTCATAGTACAAAACGCGGAACCAGCGCCCTCAGCTGTTCAGCTTACTTGAAGGACCATTCATGCAATTGACCAAGTGAGGACCAGATGAACCGGGCAGTTATTGACAGAAACTGGTGGTTCGTGTGCAGGCTAACCAAGACATGGACCTTTATTAGGCCCAATAGTCTACCTAGTAAGGCTCATATACATATTACTCCAAATATTTGTGCAAAAAGAGGTGATATGGGAGTCAAACCCTCCAGCTAGCCAACCCGCATGGTGTGACCAATGAAGGATATGTACACATGACATAAGTGTTTCTGGTCCTGCAGCTGAATGGCTGACCCAGCAGTCGGACCGTTACACCAGCAAACCAGGAGCTCAGATGGTTCGGTGGCTGGTGCGGCATTTTTTACTATGGTTCATGGCATTGTTTACCCCCATGAACCCTTCCACATGGCGTATTGTTTGTTAATATGATTGGTTAGATGAGTTTAGGGCTGGCTTGACACAAAAGAGTATTCAGTAGCAGCATTCATGGTAGCAAAGATGAATAAACAAGCCGTTCTCTGAGAGTCTGAAGTCCAACTGTAGTAGTCTTTATTTAGACTGGCAGTAAAGATTGGCAAATTTTGGTATAGGACATCACGACTTTGCAATTTTAGCTGGTGAACACTGCAGAAGTTAATCTTTCGGGGAAAGCACTCCCAAAACATGGATATTTGCTGCTGGACACCGCGTCTATTAGAATATTCATTTCTGGCTAAATAATGGAGAGAAACAGCGTGAAACATCCAATACCCCTGACCCCACAGGTCAGTTCTCCCATCTCTCTCTTCTCTTTCCTCTCTCTTTCTACCTCTGCGGCCCCACATGTCATTGCTGGAGTCCTTCCTCCCCAGTCCCCACCTTTTTTCCCTCATCCTCTCATTCTCTAGCTCGTAGGGGAAGCTTGGTGGAGGTCCGGCGGGGCGTGGTACAGAGGATCACGGAGGCGCCATCACTAGAGATGGCAACGGGTGCGTACCCATCGGGTTCGCCTACCCCATACCCACACCCATTGAAATGAAATGCTCCCGCTTCATTACCCACACCCGCTCACGGGTGAAAAATTCCCCCATACCCACACCCGCACGGGTGACGGGTACCCATTGGGTACCCATACCCATTGGAGCAATCAGATTGAGCACACAATCCATCCAGTCAATCAGCAGTGCAACACCATAGCAAAGTTTTATTTACAAATTAGGATTAAAAAGCACACACACAAACCATGCAGCCACATTGCACAGCCCACATTGCAGAATCAACAAATCAACTGATAATTCAAACAGTGATATAATATAACAAATCAACTCGGCAGCTCGGCTTTGCTCGACGCCTCGACCCCGGCAAAAATCCCTAATACCTAACCTAGCTAGCCACCTGCCTCGGCCCCCGGCTAGTGGGTGGACTGCATCGGGCGTCGGCCATAGCCTTCGTGCACGCGGCGCGGGCGAGCGGCGTTCGCGTGACGGCTAGCTTCCCCAGCCACGGGATGGCGGCGCGCGGGTGTGTACTGCGTGCGGCGGCGCGGGGATGGCGTGCGGCGACGCGGGTGGCATGCGGCAGCGTGGGAAGCGAGGGCGAGCGCGGTCTCGGTGTGCGGCGGCACAGGTGGCGCGGGCAGCGGCCGGCGGCCGGCTGGGCACCCTACAGGTGAGATGGGTGTAGAGAGGGGGAGTGAGGGAGAGGAAGTGGGTGGGAGGCTTTTATACCTAGGGTTAAATTTGTTGTTGGGCCTTGGGCTGCACATGTTCTTTTGGGCTGAGGCCTATGGGTATTTTTTACCCACGGGTTAATGGGTTCGGGTGGGTAAAGAACGTTCTACGACCCGGCCCACCCGATGGGTGAAGTTTATGCCCGATAAGAGACCCATGGGTACATTATTTGGAACACATTTGCCTCCTAATAGAGTAAAAACCCATCGGGTCTCGGGTTATGGGTCCCCGTTGCCATCTCTAGCCATCACCAATGACGGATGAATGAGGGGAGGGGAGGGGAGGGGAGGAGAACCGCATGACAGTGTAAAATAGCAGCACATGAGAAATAGCAGATGGCCTTTATCCCACACACTATTAACAGCATATGTGGTATTATGTGAAAATAAGAACTTGAATCAAAATTCCACTTGAATTTTACAGTAGGTTCTGCTACTACATGCATAGTATTACACGTTGGCTGCGTCTGCGTATATTTTATTTAATTATTGAACATATTATAATTTGATATGTAAAAATGATATTACTATATTTGTCCTCAAAATTACTTTCATCTAGTTACACTACCAACTTTTTTTATAAATACATAACTAGGAAAAGAACAATGAAAATACATGTGCATTGGAGATCGTGTTAATGTCCTAAATGACAAAAAAAAAAGCACAAAGGTTGTACTTTAAAACTAGCATCCTGAATCTCATGTGGGTGCTGTTGACTACTGTTGTGCATACGTTCATGACAGCATGTAGTCCAGGCGTACACATGACAAATCACTGTACATAACTGTTGGCTGTCATACTCATCACAGCCAGCTGTCCAGCCATGCATATGTCAGCTAGTCAGCTACATTAATTTGATTGTTCTACTACTATTATATAAATAAACTATGTTAGCCTGATAACAAAGAGGATATGTCCACGTTTCCACAACAGGGTGAAAGAAGTAACCATCCATATGAATATCTTTCACGAATGTCCAAACAACCTTGGTAAAGATCACAATGTGGACAGGTGCACAAAGATCATGTAATCATGGGCTGCAGTTGTCCAAACAGGTTTGGATTGAAAAAAAAAGGTCATTGGTGGTATCCTGCCCTATGCATCCTTTTATCTCGTACTACAGTCCAATCAGACAATTGGACCATGGGAGCACTTTGGAAGTCTTCAAAACCACAGTGCACCAAAAAGGAGTGCCCCTCTGGCCTTGTGCTATCAACTTTGAACTTTCAAAACCAAGACGGCACACAACTAGGAAATTCACATCGTTTTCAACCTAACAAAATTTCTCCCTCTACACAGGCCCCACTGGCGCAGCGCAAGCGATCCCTCTCAAACCATCAGCCCTACCCTACAACCCGGAAAATAATAGCATCAACATCAGCAACACGAGCACACCGCGGATTTGGACGGAATCTCGCAAGCACGTTGACCAATTCAAAGGTTTGTAGCACGCCCATAAGTTTGTGTGGGGATAGGGGCATATGTCCATGTCATCAACAAATCCAGAGCACGAGACAAACCAATGTGAAGCAAGCAATTGAGACTGTAGTATGGAGCAATCGGTGCTTACATGGCCTTCGTCTCCACGCTCTCCGTGCAGACCGGGGCGACCGTGTACTGGCCGAGCAGCTCGAGGTAGAGCCTGTATGCCTCCGGCTGCGCCTGCCGGTTGGGCACCACCCTGCAGAAATTCCCCCCCAACACAATCTGATTAATCTCAACCCGAGGTCTCAAAACCCGCACGGAATCGAACTATTCGGCGGTGGATTAGGGGGCGAAACGAGGGCTTGCTCGGGACCTCGGGGTGAGCAGCGCGAGGGCGAGGAGCGGGGAGACGAGGCGGGACGCCATGGCCTGGTCCAGCACCTTCCACATCGCGCCCGTGTTGTGCGCGAAGCACAGGTTGGACACCAGCGCCGCGGCGAGCGCGGCCCCGGCCCCGCCATCGACGGAGATGGAGGAGGAGGCCTCCCGGGCGCAGCGCGCGGCCTCGGCGGCCTGCAGGAGCGGGGGGTCGCCGCGCGCCGCGGACGCCTTCACCGCCGCCATCACCCGCCGCTCCAGCTCGGCGGCGGCGGCGGCGGTGGCGGCCGCCATGAACGCGATTGCGCCGCCGCGGGAGGGAGGTTTGAGGGGGTTTTACGGGGCGAGTGGTTTTGGAACGATGGAGAAGGGAAGAGAAGAGAAGAGAAGAGAAGGAAGCAGAGAAAAGCGTGGTGGAACGGAGGACAGAGGAGAGGACGAGGAAATGACGCTCGGCTTTATTGCGCGCCCGCCTATGCAGGACCTTTTACATTATGGCCCATGTGTTGTATTCTTGTTTTTGCAAATAGACAGCTCAGGATACTAGTAATGCAGGAATGGACCTCGGCTCAGGTTTCCGAGGGTATTGCCATATAGGGGTGAAGACGGGGTGGGTAAGGTCGGATCACAACATTTCCATATCCTAACTCATATTTTATTTTAAATTCAAAATCAAGTACGGGTAGTGTCCGATAACTTTTTTTGAATCGGATTCGGGAACGGGTTTTTTTATGTCCAATTCATGGATATTTAATGTAAGAAGACAATTAAAGTGCTAAAAAAGATACATCAAGGAACAAATTATATAATATTACATGTGAGCTCATAAAAATAGTGATTAACTAATCTTTTATCATGTTTATAGGTGAACTTATAATAGATTTTCACATATGTTTCATAATATGGAACATATGGGCGGATATAACTATTCACGTATCATAACCCATATTTTTTTATGGATTCGGGTTCAAACTCGGATAATATCGGATATCCCATTTTCTCTCTCATATTCCTCCCGCAAGCCTTGGGTCGGTCGGGCGGGCGGGAAATATCCACCCCGTTTTCACTCCTATTGCCATTGAGGTATAACATTTCAGCATCACTAATACGAAAATGATCCTATCCGGGTGACCGATGCACACACTAAATATAGGGCAGTTACTCCCCACCCACTTCTTATCTATTCCCTCATTCTCTTTTCTCTCTATCCCATCTTCTCTCTCCACACACCCCACACATGTGCCTCTACCTCCCCTCATCGTCGGGGGAGCGAGAGGCTGCTCTTGCTACCTCGCCGCTGGCCGGTGAAAACAAGGAGGAGGATTGCCTGCTTCTCTTGCGATTAGAGCTCAAGTCGTAGGTGGCCGTGCTTGGGGACGTGCTCTCTGCGACCACCGCCATGCTGATGGCCGAGCTCGTGGCAGAGAATAGGAGCTCAGTAGCACGGTGGCCATAGGGACGCAACCGAGCTCAGCCCAACGTCAATGATGACGGTGGACACACGGATGCGGCCGAGCTCTGCGGCGTCAACAACGGTGGCCGAGGTCCACGGAGTGGACGACGGCGGCCACGTGGATGCGGTCGAGCTCGGCGCGGCGTAGAGGACAGTGAGCGCACAGTTTGTGGCCGACGTAGATGAGTTCGACGCGGCATCAACAACTATATCCTCCCCGATCTCGACTTGATTTTTTTTTTATGTTTCAGTCAATATAACTTAATGTTCTTTTATGTTGAATTGAAATGTTGCAATGAGTTTTTATGGTGTTCCATAACTTTGTCCTTTGCCAATATGGATTTCTTGGTATTTCAATAGAGCAAAACTTGATGTTTTATATGTTCCACCAAAATGTTTCAGTCATAAGTTCAAATGTGTTTCACCATCTCAATAGATTAAAACATTTTCTATTTACTCGGTGAAACATTTTTCCCAACTAGTAAAAAAGCGTCCGATTTTCTTAAAAAAACGGGCGTCCGATTTGTAGGCTCTTCCTCACTAATATTGGCATAGAGTCCTAGCGGCTCAGTCTAACTTGTACGCCACTTGAAACGATGCACTAGCTAGCCTCACCTAGCACCAAAATAATACTACCAGCATAATATTGATGAGTTTTGCCAGACCAAGATTTCAGAAACGGTTTTTTCTACTGATTGTATACTAAAATTACTCTCCTATTTGTTTCTTAAATTCCTATCACATGATAGGTTGGTGGTGAATTTTTTTAAAAAAAGGTTTTAAAGGTGTCCACAGTGCTTCAAAATTAATGCTTTTTCACATTTAGATCGATCTTCATAGAGGATCCCGAACGATCTAGACATGTGTGGGGACAGGTGTTTGGCTAGAGATTAGAGTTTAAACCTAGATACTTTGCAAATGAAAAATGAAGTACCCCTTTACTCTCTCGTTTTCCGCGCGCACGCTTTTCAAACTATAGATTAGAGTTTAAGCCTAGATACTTTGCAAATGAAAAATGAACTAACCCTTTACTCTCGTTTTCCACGCGCACGCTTTTCAAACTATTAAACGGTGTGTTTTTTTACAAAAAGTTTCTATACGAAAGTTACTTAAAAAAATCATATTGATCCACTTTTTTAAAAAAATAGCTAATATTTAATTAATCATACGTTGATGGACCACTCCGCTTTTGGTGTGCACTGTTCACAGCTGGGAACTCAGCCAGCCGAACACAGCCTAAGGGTGCGTTCGATCATCCCCTTTTCTAACTTCTACTTTCTCTCATTTTTCACGCGCACACATCCCCGAACTGCTAAACGGTATAAATTTTTGCCAAAAAATTTTCTATATAAAAGTTACTTTCAACAATCATATTAATTTATTTTAAAAAAATGCTAATACTTAATTAATCATGTGCTAATGAGCTACGTCGTTTCCCGTGTGGGAGAAATGGGTTACGAACCCATATGTTCAAACACAGGATTAGGGGCTATGGGAGAGAATTTGGTGTCTTCTTATTTTGGGATTTTTAATAGGAGCCGTGCTGGACTTCGATTTTTCTCCTTTCACCCTAAAAACTATTTGGGGGCTTAGTGTTCGAATTTTCTCCTTTTGCCTCAAAAACTATTTGGAGGTTTAGTGTAGGTTCTACTAAATATATTCTAATGCTCAACATAGTCTCTCGTAGAGTTGTAGTTGCTAGTTCACGTGTATTATATTCCCTCATTCCCTAAATATTTGACGACGTTGATTTTTTAAACATGTTTGACCGTTCGTCTTATTCAAAAACTTTTATGAAATACGTAAAACTATATGTATATATAAAAGTATATTTAACAATGAATCAAATGGTAGTAAAAGAATTAATACTCCCTCCATTATTTAATAGATGACGCCGTTGACTTTTTCTCACATGTTTGACGTCTTAAATTTTTGAATAAGACGAATGGTCAAACATGTGAGAAAAAGTCAACGGCGTCATCTATTAAAAAATAGAGGTAGTAGTTACTTATATTTTTTAAATAAGACGAACGGTCAAATATGTTTAAAAAAGTCAACGGCGTCAAACATTTAAACATTTAGAGAAGGAGTGAGTATATATGGTTTTTAAAAAAGAATCATAGTAATTGTTTTTTGAGTTTGCTCGTAGTAGAAAAAATGTGTCATAAATACGTTCCAGCGTGGGGAAAACGTACGTGACGTTACACCGTAAGGTACCATGAATTTCCACATGCCGTTAGGACGTAGTACCACTAGCACGTTCGTAGATCCCCGCCGGTCACGACTCGTGGGTCGTGACGTTGAAAAACCTAGAGGAGGATTAAGGTCCGGAACTTTCCCCCGCTTTGACCCTCCGATCGTCGCCCGCGCGCGTCACACCGGGAGGTGGACTTTCCACACGAACAGAGGCAGATCGAAAGCGAAACTGCTAATTAGCGGTCAGACCAGCGCCATTCCTCCGCGCGGCGTAGCCACGTGGCGCGCGGGGGAGAGGAGGGCGGCGGGAGAGCGCACCAGTAGCCTTTTTTTTTTTCGGTTTTTTCCTCTTTTTCTACGGTTTTTCCGATAATACTTGCTCCCGGGCGACCGACGCAGGGGAGCTGGATCGGGCGCTCCCCCGCGCACGCCCCCACGTGCTGCATGCAGATCTGGGCCCCACCATGTCTCTGCTCCTACATACTATTGCAATAAATCACTCACATATTTTGGAACCCCTCTGTTAAGGGAATTTGGTTTATTTTTTGTTCCACAAAATATGTTTCAACTAGTGTACTTACAATGTTTCACTATGCATAGATCTAATATTGCAGTGAACTAAAATACTCCATTACAATAAAAAACCCACATATTTTGAAAACCCCCTATTAAGGGAATTCGGTTTATTTTTTTTTCCACCAAAAGTGTTTCACCTAGTATACTCACAATGTTTCACTATGTATAGATCTAATATTGCAGTGAGCTGAAATACTCCATTGCAAAAAAAAAACTCACATATTTTGGAAAGCCCTATTAAGGGAATCGTTTTATTTTTGTTCCACCGAAAAATATTTCATCTAGTGTACTTATAATGTTTTACTATGTATGGATCAAATGTTACAGTGAACTGAAATAATCTTTCGTTATTTGCTGAAACATTGTTTTTATATAAGGTGAAACAACACCCGATTTAAACGAGTGAAACATTTTCGATCTACTTAGTGAAACAATTCCGATATACCTGGTGGAACATCGTGCAACATTTAAAAATAATTCAATAATAAACTAAAAAAATTTCGTCAGAATATATCCATGTGTGGTCTTGTTTTGAAGATTTAATTGCAACGAATTTAATGGTGTAATCGGATCATAATTTGGATAAGTAATTTAAGAGAAAAATCAATTTAAAGTAGTTTTTGCATGTAAATCGGACGCTGACGGCATGCTGACGTCAGCGCCCGATTTTTCTCCAAATCGATCGGGCGACCGATCCGTAGGCGCGTCCGGGTTTTTCCGGTTTTCTTTCTTTTCCCTGCTGTTTTCCCCCTTTTCTCGGTTTTTTCTTTGGGTCTTTTTCCGGTTTTTTTTAATATATAAGTATCTTCGGTTTTTAAATCTATACTATATAAACTTTGTGCATGTATATATTAAAAGTGTATATATCTGTGTATAAATACATATAGTATATAGTATAGTAGTATAAGGGATATAGTAGTATAAGGAAGAGTATAGTATACTAGTAGTATATATAGGGGATAAGATTAAAAACTGACCGCGCGACTGCGGCCGCGCGCGGTCAGTCGCTCATCAGCATCCCCCCGATCGAGAGGGTTACGTCAGAGAGGAGCGTGATGGCACCGATGTGTGGGTCCTATCACACCCGCGGGCCCATTTGTAAGTTACCAGACGTGCACCCCTTTCTACCAGTATTACGTGTCTATGCGCGCGTAATACTCGTGTCGATGTGTTATACATACGTACACATTTTAGTATTATGAATCATAT